GTAATACCTCCCCATTCTAACGTGCTATTACACAAATGTGAGTATAGAAGTGAAATCAGTCCACTTGGGAACTGTTCCCTTACGCACATTCTTTCAAAGAATGTCATCTGTGTCTCTGCGGCTTTTTTAACCTGTCGGTCTTGGGCATAGTCTCTAATCTGGAGATATCTAAAGAAGTCAAAGGGTCGTAATGGTGTTCTAGTTTGCAAATCCTCAAACGTCACAAATGACCCCCCTCGAACAGTTGGTGTAATCTCTGCAGTCCTGCACATTCAATGCCCCTAAAATCCTGGGCTGTCATTCCTGGTAGGAAAGCTTTGTTCCTCAATAAAGGGGTCAATGGAGAAGGGGAGGATATCAAGCCATATTTAGGAGTGGCTGCGTCCCAGATCTTCAGTGAATTGGAAACCGCAGGGCAGGTAACGCTTATGTTCGGTCTATGCTCCTTAGGGGTCCATATAAAAAACTGGGGCATATCCATCCCCATCAGGGAAGCTTATAGATCTACCCATCTCCTTTCCTCCGGTGGAGAATGCCACAGTGCCACCTGGGCTAGCTGGGCTGCCTCATAATAAAAATATAGATGCGGAAGGCCCAGGCCGCCCCTGTCCCTAGCCCGGTAAAGGATGTTGCGTGAGACCCGTCCAGCAGACTTTTAAGGCATCATTAGTTTAGATCTACAAACAATTCCACTGATCACATAGCATGAGTGAAACCATAAACATTGCTGGCGTGGGGCTTTTGGGGCTGAAGACCCAGACCTCTACAGTTGGTGGTAGGGGTAGGACAATATTAGTATACCTTTTAAAATTATTTAAAAAAAAAAGAAAGATAAGCAGTATACTGTACCCCCAAGGTCCTTAAGGGGAGCTTGTTGTGCCCTACAGATGACTGATGGGAGGGGGTACTGCAGAACAGGACCTCCATTAGTTAGTAAGCACACATTAAATAATGCAGTGTAGCATGTGCTTCTTTGTAGCAAACTTGGCCACCAGTAATCCTGTTCCGTACATTGTGGCACTCATTGCTAGTATGGATAGAGGTTACGACAAGAACTTAAGAGTTCATTTATATCAAAATGTACAGTTTTAGTATTTTTTCATATTAAAATAAAAAATATGGCTATATTGCAAAAGAAACTGTAGTATATATATCTATATACAAGTACTGTATATATTATGATGGTGAAAGGACAATCACCATGACATTGTCACTATATGTAACTAGAACTAATTCCCATCAGGTATTTTGATGTAATTTACAGTGTATGGATTCCCGTGTATTGCCGAAGATGGCAAGCAGCCATCAATGCACTGATTGTTGTATTAGGAGATAAATCACATTTGATGAGATAATTTTCTCAGACAATAGCAATCCAGAATTATTAGCTGTTAGATATAAATTCCCACACTAACATGTTCTCCCAGCATTTGTGCATTTATGGATATCACAAATTACTGTCGTTTTCATTGATTTATTATCTGGCACCACAATGAAACCATTTAGTGTTAACTCTTTTGCTGGCGGGGTTAAGTTGCAAGAAAAGAATAGTTTTCATTTCTTTTTTGAAATTCTTTATTTATTGATCCTCATTCTCACAAATTATGAGGATGTCGTCATAGAATAAATACTGCCGTACAGGTAGTGCAGCAAATGGCAGTCATAACAATACAAGATAAACAGTTTCGGTGTCTATTGTGAGCTCAGGTATTTTACATTATTTTAATAGAACTATGGTCCTGCCAGCTAAATTCAGCCTGCTAGGGGTTCCACGGTATAAGTTTAACTTGACCAGGGTCTTTGGTGCTACCCTTGTGTAGTAGGACCCACCAGCAGGGGCAAGATAGGAAAGGTTAGGGATTAAGGCTAGTGAAACCTTACTTATGGTTCTCAGTCATCCAATACCTAGGAGACTGCGTGCTGAGAGAAGTAACGCCTCTGCACATTTAAAATAATAGGGCCCTCAACTTGGGGCTGGGGGGGGGAATTAGTTGTTGGCTAAAAGGCCAACCTGTTTGATTGCGGAGTGCATGTTTGCATTATCAGAAATGTAAAAACTTTTATAACGAAAAGAAAGCAAATACTTATAAAACAGAAGACATAAGTGTCTTGTCATTGATAAGTGAGTGGATCTATATAGTCCACAAGGTCATGGCTGCAGCGTAAGCATCCGAGTCAGGCCGCCAGGGGACAAATGGGATGATAGTCACTGGGTCCCATCTGGGAGTTTTCTTGTGTCCCAGAGGTGTCAGGGAGTGTTGCGGGAGGCCTAAGGTCCCCAGGACAGCAAGCTCGTCCATCACGTCCTGGATCTTGTAGGAAGTATTGTTGTGAATGACCAGTAGGGTCCGGGGTGAACGCCAGCTGTAGCGTATTGTACACTCTTGCAGTAGGTAGGTGAAGGGGTGGAACGATCTCCTCCAGGACAGCGTGCCTCTCAACATGTCTGCGTAGAATGTGAGTGTCATGTTCTCGAAGGCGTATTGGGGAGTCTTTGTTTTGATGGAAGTGCATCACCACATCTCTTGCAGCTGTTTCTGGTGCTTTATTCGGTTTAGGAATGCGGAACACTCCATTCAGTACAATATTCCTGGCCGTCTTTGGGGATAGTAATATGGAATTATACCTTTTTCGGTTCGGGGGCAAACCTTTGAAACGCCCTGGACCTCACCACTAGTTACTTTTGCAGCTCTACCCTGTAAATCTTTAAAGAGACCCCAACGCCTGATGAAGACAATATTTGCACTAGAGGCAGTGGGAACCACAAGCTATCTGACACCCTGGTAGGGGGTGAGCTTATTTGGAGGGGCCTCGGGTGGTAGATTTTGTATTCCCCAGACAAAATATCTATTGGTTAGATGTCATGAGGCTAATTGTATTATTTTACGTTTCTGTTTGTTGATGTATTTAATAAGTGGACTAGATGAGGAACTGTGTTTCAGTTGTGTGTTCTATTGTATGTGAATTATCTGTGTGTTGTATAAATAGGTGTGCCTTTTTACCAAGTGTCATCTGTTGTTTGGGGAAAGGCCTATAGTCACTTCAGTGCTTTTTTTTTCCAGCGAGAAGAAACTTTTGACGGAGGTACTGAAGCTCTGTCACATAATTTCAGTCACATTTCTCTTCACTCCCAATCTTTTTATTTTCCTTCAATTCAATCTGTTTTATTATTTGAAATGAAGGATCCAGTACTCATTTATTATAGGAAACAAAGGTTCTTGTACTCTGCTTCCCAGTTTAAAGGAAAACTTCAAGCATTATAATCAGTACAGCCCACTGTAGTGGTTATGGTGCCAGTAGTGCTGTGGCGCCCCCAATGTATGTAGCCAAACCATTTTAGATCGGTTTGACTTCTTACTTAGGGGCTGCTGCTTCACCTACTGGTAGATATTGTGACAACATCTACAAGTTGCTTGGGATCCAGCACAGAATGCCAGAGTTAGAAGAATAAAATGAGCACAAGGGAGATAAAGGGGGAATCCAGGACTGAGAATAAAATTAAGGGACAATAAAGAAAGGGATTCCTAATAATAGGATATAAGCAGGCAGGGAGTCTGTGAAACAAATGGGGAGTGGTAAGGAAAGGGACTGGCCAAAAAAGAGGAAGAAAGGAAGGTCTGGGCTGGGTTAGAGTGTTATACAAATTCCACAAAGGGTTCAATTCAGTAAAGATAGGTATATAAAGGTTATATTTTTTACATGATTCGTGAATTTGCAATGTGTGTTATTTTCTGAAGGAACATGCTTAATGGGAAAAATGGTGAAAAATGTAATACAGGTGGTCCTCACTTTACGACATGTTTTACGATGGCTCGCACTTCCGACCAGCTCTCTAGCGTGGGGATTTAAGGCATTCCCCACTTAAGAGAGCTGGTCTATGTTTGGGGAATTTTCCCCAAACATAGATTTGAGGGATTCCTTGCTCTGGTGCGTATGTAAATTTTCACGAACATAGACAAGCGCACCAGAGCAGGGAATCCCTCTAATCTATGTTCGGGGAATGTTTCCCTGAACATTGACCTGCACTCGTGCAAATGCTCTGTAGCGCATCCTCACTTACCGACCAATTTGTTTTACGACCGAGTCGTAAGAACGGAACCCGGTAGGTAAGTGAGGAGTGTCTGTACAGCAGTTAAAGAAAACATGTAGAAAATATATAATACCAAATAGTTGTCACGGCCCCCGGCTCGCCGCCATATGCGTCCGTGCCCGATCGGCACAACCGCACCAACCCACTGAGCTTACCTGCTCAGCGGCGAGCCGGGAACTGTTCCTCCACGCCTCTCAGGGAAATCCAAGATGGCGCCGACCATAAGGTCGCGTCCATCCATGGCTCCACCCCCCAAAATTATACGAATGTGCGCGTGACGTCACGACGTCAACGCACGTTCTGGGGTCAGAGGTCACCCTATGACCAATCAGAGCCTAGAGAGGGATATTTAAATCCCTAATTCACCCCAGTAACTTGCCCTGTTGTGGTTTCCTGTTCCTGGTTCCCTAGAGTGCATTTATCTTTGTGAATATTACTTCCTGGTATCCTGATCTTGGCTTTTTCCTGGTTATTCCGAATTCTGGTTCCCCTGACTTGGCTTGTTTAAACGGTATCTGAGTTTTTCTTGCTTCCTTGACCTCGGCTTTCCCTTTGACCATTCTCTATCTCTAGCGTATTAGTCCGGCCATTCTAAGGTCCGGTTTACGCTCTGTCCTTTTATTTACTTTCCTTTTGTATGTATATGTTAGCATAGTTTCTGCATGTTGGACCACACTAGCAGCCATGACAATAGTATTACAATAATCAAGTGAAAAATACTTGGACTACCAGTAGAGCTATAAAAGAAGCTAGAGTGATTGTTTTTATGAAAGTTGAACATGTTTTATTTAGGAATAAATGTTAATTCATGAATTTATGAAATAATCTTAAATGTAAACATATAAATATACAAATACGTATTACTGTATGTTATACATTAGTTATTTATTTTAAAAAATCAAAACTGATTATAATGAAGAACATTCTCAATTAAATAATTTCTCTCTAAATTCTCTTTTTATATCCTTTCATATTCAATAATAAATAAAGAAAAAAGCTGAAGATCAATAGCTTTTTTTTTCCCCTTGACTCCACAATTTATAAGCAGTACAAAATTTCCTTTAATAATAATAATTTAATAAGTGCGTTGCTGCACTCTCAAACTATTTAAATAAGGGATATTTACTAAATTGAAAATTCAAAGTGAATTTAAAAATTCCAGTTCGACTGCTTAGATCATAAATTTAAAATTCACTCTGAATTCTCACCTTCGTGAATAACTCTGTTGGTATACTTTTCAACTGAATATTCTATCTATTTGTTGGTCCTTAATAAATAATAATATGCAAATAACACTTTGAATTTGAAATGTTAACTATAATTTTAGCCAGTAAACTGTTTTGATAATTAACCTGTAAAATACTACTCAAAATTCACATATCTTGCTAAACGAGTTTTGTAAATCATTAGAACAAAGCAATATTATACAATATCTGTAATAATGTGCAACATAAAGGAGTTACTAATTAGCTTTATTGGAGTGAGAGTTGACTTAATTTACCTTCATTTAGGATTAGCAACTAGAACAATTTGTCACAGCCTGCCAATCAATATTTTGATATAAAACCGTTGATATAAACTAGTGGAAAATATATATCTACATGTATACAACATGACTGAATTGGTGCATCCCTTATTTATGGACACTTGGTCAGATCTACTTGTTCCTGAAGTATGCAATCAGTGACTTGCTCTTTTTCAAGGACTGCAAAATATAAGAAAAACTAAAATATTTGTTTAACCACCAATTATGGCCAGGTGAGCACATATCACCACACATCCAGGGAGGGCTTTAGTGACTTTCTTGCAGAGCTGTGGATGTAGTTTTAGAGATGGCAGGTCTGATCTCTCAGAAAAAAAACATAGTATCGGCTTCAAAACACATGGTGTATGAAGTTTTTAAAACTAATATTGTATTGTTTAGGAAGGCTGGTCATAATACACAGCCTTCACACAAGCACAACATACAGAGCCTCAACAGACAAACCCTTCTCACACACACAGCCTCGCCACACATACATAGAAGTCAAAGAGCCACCCACACAAACTATGCACAGCCTCCCCACACACAGCGTCTGCACGCAAAGCCTCCCCACCCCACAAACAATACCGAACCTCTACAAAAAATACAACCAAAGCCACCAACATGACACACAACCACCCTACAGACACATCATTCCCCACACAGTCTTCCTACACACAATACACAGAGCCTCCCAACACACAGTTAAAACACACATCCCTCTAGACACATCCACCCACCACATGCAGTCACCTCAAAGATATAACCTCCCCACACACATACACAGAGCAATCCTATGCACAACATCCTCACCTCACAGGCAACACACAACACACACAGCCCTGAAAAACACACGGACACACTAGACACAACGTAAACAACCTATGCCACACAACACAAACATAATGACAGCCAACCCACTCCCACAGTCTTCCCATACACAATACATACAGCCTTAAATTGGGCAGACTAGATGGGACAAATGGTTCTTATCTGCCAGCACAATCTATGTTTCTATGTTTCTCACACACTCCACAACATACAGTTACCCACAAGCAGCTACCCCAAACATAGTGCACAGCTTTACACATAGCAAACAAACAGTCATCCCATACAGCCACCACACACAGTTAACCAATTTAAAAAAAACACTAACAGAGAGCCGAAAGAGATAACAGGGAAATACCAGAGAAGAGAAGCAAAGTTGAGAATGAAAAATAGGCTGAAGGTATATATGGTACAAGGGGGCTGGCAGCAATGTGGATTTTTGGTTCAAGTAAAATAATTCCTTGTACCAGCACTGTATGGCCATTAGGCGAGGCAGCCAACCTCCTCTCTCTGAGCATACATGGAGCACAGTAAGGGACTTCTGAAATACTCAGAGTGCTTTTTAAGCTACTGAACATGGACTCTTTCAATTTTGCAAGTACACATTGAAAAAATCACAACTGAGGAGTATAATAATTTATAGATATCCAGTATTTGGCATTGTTTTTCATCTGTGGTTTAAAAGAGAGGCAACCCTCAGATTGTTAGTTGTTATTATCAGCTTTGCTGTCACTGTTCCAAGTCTGATTCCCCGGCAAACAATATATTATCTGGCTCATCTTCCAATCTGTAATACATTTCATCTATTTCTGGTTCTTGCGTGTGCTCAGGTAAAAACAAAGTTTGCACAAATTCTTCTTCTCCGTCAGCGCCCAGCACCCAGTTTGGTCCTAAAGCTCTTCCTTGTTCCAAAGGTGGATTTATTCTTTCATACGTTGGTACCGATGCATCTATAAGGGTAAGCACTTCACCAGAGTAAGGGCTTCCCAGAAGTTCTTTTATATCATTTTTGGTTTCAACATTCTGGACTGCATCACAGCTCTTCAGAGAGGAATCGCTACTGCTACTATCATCAGAGGATGAGCTAGTGTCTCCTTCCACCAATGCAAGGGGCGCAGCTTTCCGATCATCTGACTGGCTACAAAATAATGAACAAAGAATGTTCTGGTATTATTAGCCGCAATGTTTCTTACGCTTTATACAACCTCTTATTACTAATAAGAAATTTCTCTAAACAGTGTAGAGAGTTTACCCAGCAGCACCTGCTTCCTACAGGTATAATCAACATGAAAAGTACTATTAATTTAATAGTTTGCAATACAGTGCATTAGGAAGGATCTAGGGATATATCTCTTGCCCATATCCTGGTTCTCCTCAGATTACCAGGTCCAAATAGCATTGTAGGGTGAAGGTAGACTTTCTATTTCATTCCTATAATTTCCCTAGAGGATATCAGGTTAACAAAAAAGGAAAAGGGAAGGGAATCTAACTTGCAAATAAAGGCATTTGGTAAATCTGATCCATTGCTCATTTTTCAAGGTTTTCATTGGTTGACATTGGCTTAAAAATCCATCATATCCTATTCCTTTGTTTACATACAGGTCTAGCCAGAATCATTGTGCCATATTGCCCGGGGACGGTACACATTTCGAGGAAGACTACTACTCACCACTCTGTATCTTCTATCCCATTCGGTATTCCTGCAACATCAATTAAATTCTCGTGAATTTCAACCATGGCTTGAAGCTTAGACTTTGAACCGGTTGATAACGTAGTTTGCATGAAAGGCGGGATGGAAAGGTCTCCCTTTGGCTCAGCAGGTCCCTCTACTTTTTTCTCAATCTGCTCATACGATGGCAAAGATGTTTCAAAGCGTTCCGCCTCCTTACTAGTGGTATAGTGAGTGGTTGACCTACAAACCATAAGTTACAGATGTAGCAGTTAAAATTCATCAGGGACTTAATAATTCCTCTCTTATTGTTTACTAATACACAAGTCCTGTCTCCCGACTCCTTTCCTTCCATATATAAATGAAAATAATAGAATATAATAAAAACAAGGTATAACAGGCATTTAAAAAATGTATTTTTTTTCAAAGTCAGGAAGTTTTAGGTTTTTATTTATTTTCTTTACTCTAAGAATCATAATGACTAGAGTTCACTGTCATTGTGGTCTAAATAGTCTATACAAATATGAATTATTTTAAGTTCACACAGAGAATCAATCTGTTTCTGTGCCTGATTGGCTGGCATATATATATATAAATTATTCCTAATCCAGCAGAGTAGAAAATGTAGGAATTCCATCTAGAAAAGGATCGTCACCCCCACTGCACTCAAGCCCTGGTCTATTATAATAACATATAGTGGGAAAACAATCATTTGAACCTAACAAAGGGGTATAAGACGTTGGGTTCACCCAGAATTATAAATATGGTCCAAAACAGTCAAAGGACCCAGTCTGCACACTGCTTTAACCAGATTTTTCAATAATGTTAACTTTCACCAATGGGTAGTTATGAAGAAGAAGTTAAATTTATGGGTGCTTGTTTTTTTATGTTTTTGGTTTCTTTTTATTTCCGTGAACTGAATGTTATGACTAAAGTCTTTATTATTTTGTTTTTTATTATTTCTGTTTACATTCCTTTGATTCAGATGAAATCTACCTGCATATTTTCCATTTTACACATCCTAATAATATTTGACCTTGAATAGGATGAGGAGATGAGTAATGCCAATGTTTATAATAAGATATAATGAGAAGTTCGTTAGATGTACCAAGGTTTCTCCGGCTTTTCATTATTAGTGTATCCTGAACTCTTCTCTGTTAATGCAGCGGCTTCCATATCAACAGGAGTAAAGGTGATCTGGAAAACGAAGTAAGAAGGTCAAAAGATAAACATCAGGCATGTAATGATTAAAACAAGATATTATGGGTCTGATAATGAAAGCATTCTGAGCCTGCTTTATTAAAACCCATTATAACTCTTTGACTGCTGGGTGAAAATGTACTGTAAAGAGGAGGTCAATGCAAGAGCAAAATCTCTTGTAATGTTAATACAATGTCCATCTCATTCCCTGCATCGTGTATGAGTAATGCTATCAATCGCTAGAAAGACAATGGGTTCCAGTGTTTGTGGTCTACCGATTTCAGTGTTTGTGGTCTACTGCAGATGTATGGAGCCCTCAAGCTTTTTAAAAACTATTTTTTTTATATGGGGCAGGAGGAGGGGGTGGTTTTAAAGCAAATACATTTTACAGGAAGCCAGTGTGGGTATTGATGGATCCTGCTTAAAAGAAATCAGCAGTGGTACAGAGTTCCCTTTAAAGGAACACTATAGGTTCAGGAACACAAACATGTATTCCTGGCCATATAGTGTTAAAACCACTATTTAGGTGACTCCCCCCCCCCAGCCCCTTAGAAAGGGTTAAAGTTTGCCTTACTTCCAGCTCTCCACAGGACTGGAGGCACTTGCCCCGACCCGTTCCGTATCTTTGGCTGACATAATCAGAATTGATTATATGAGCCAATCCAATGCTTTCCCACAGGGAAAGCATCAGATTGTCTGAGATTGTCAAAGAGGCGGGGTAGAGTTGGTTCCAAACGCTTCCCTGCCAATCAGCATCACCTCGTAGAGAGGCATTGAATCACTGCATCTCTATGAGGAAAGATCAGCGTCTCCATGCTTTGCGCAGAGCATGGTAACGCTGAACTTCAGTACTGCACAGTTGGCAGCACTGACCCAGGAAGCACCTCTTGTGGCCGTAGGAGGAGTGGCTACAGGAGGTGTCCCTAGGCTGTAATGTAAACACTGCCTTTCCTCTGAAAAGACTGCAGTGACTAACTATACTCAGCAGAACAAATACAATAAGCTGCAGTTGTTCTGGTGACTATAGTGTCCTTTCAATATAAACACATAGTGTGGAGAAAACAGGTGCGAGGAAAATCCAGTCCTATTTAAGTACCAAGGATTTTTCTTGTTTCCTTTGCTAATGACACGTTTATAGCATTTTTAAATGTTCTAGTTGTTCTGCATTAGTGTTTTCCAAAACAGAATGACTGCATGTTTGTTATCAAAATAAATACCAAGGAGAATGGGACAGAGGTCAGGCTGAAAAAAAACATACACATCTTAAACCAATTGAAACTTAATTTTATCCCCAAATAAAGCATTTCATTCTTCAACCAATTAAATGAGTAAGAATATCCAAATCTACGGAGTTGGTGAATCGGGACACTAGAATGAATTACTTGTGTCTTTTTTAAATTTAATTTATAGTTAGAAATTCTACCAAAATCGTGAATGCATTTCAAAACTGCCAACAGAGATGTTTCTGGATTAAAAAGTGTCAGAACTACATCATCTGCATATAACATGATCTTTGAAGTCTGGTCGCTATAGCGAATTCCCAGGATTTCCTCCTCCTGTCTTATATAAGCTGCCAAGGGTTCTATTGATAGTGTATACTACATTGGGGCCAATGAGCACCCTTGTCTCGTCCTGTGCCCATTCTGAGTTGAATCCATTTTCCGAGACCCTGGCGGATGGAGGAAATGATTCACAATATTTAAAATGTGTCATTTTAAAAGCACATTATACTTTGCTGATGTACCAAAACAGGGCAATAACTATAGACATTGTACATGTCATATTACAATTCACACTTAAAAACTTAAAAGAAAAATAAAATAAAAAATATGACAAAACCAAATCGGCTGTAAGTGGTACAATACGACTAACTAGATTAAAGGATCACTATAGGGTCAGGAACACAAACATGTATTCCTGACCCTATAGTGCAAAACCCACCATTCAGGTGGTTTGCCCCCCCTTAAAAGTGAATAAAACTCACCTTATTTCCAGCGCCTTGCGGGTCTGCCAGCGCTGGCCATGCCCCCTTGGTGACATCATCAGAATTGCGATTTTCCCATGGGGAAAGCATTGGATTGGCTAAAATCGACAATGGGTGGGGCCAATCAGCACCTCCTCATAGAGATGCATTGAATCAATGCATCTCTGTGAGGAAAATTCAGCGTCCCTATGTAGAGCGTGGGGATGCTGAACGGCAGAGTTACCTACTGTGCAGCACTGCCCCAGGAAGCACCTCCAGTGGCCATTTGGAGGTTTCCCTAGGAGCAATGTAAACACTGCCTTTTCTCTGAAAACATGATTTGGTGACATTTAAAACTGATTATTCGTATATAAGGTCCAGTTGCTTTTTAAATATTACCAGAAATAAAATAACACATAATAAACATGGCACATATGCTGTTATATCAGATAATATATTGTTATGCATTCATAAACCAAATTACTGTCATATACATTTTTTTTTATGTCGGTTAAATAAAAAAAGGACAATTTCTCTTTTTCCTTAATAAGTTAATATCTAACTGTAGTTTTGCAACAATTGTTTATTAGTGTAAAACAAAACATATCTGAGCTGGCACAGGAATATTTAGCATGATGGGAGTTAGTGGCCTGGAGTTTCTAAACTCTGTTAGAATTAAATACAAGATCTTAAAAATCTTAAAAAAAAGACAGCAGTTGAAAAACCCAATCAGATTCCATAATTTTTATCAAATATAGGAAAATGTCACTGTAAAATCTGGTGTTGCATATAGTTCATAATCCATTATTTATTAGCAGTTATTTTTAAAACCAGTATATCCATAGCACAGTAAATACAGAGAATATAATGTCCTACCTTAGGATAACACTGACATATACTCCAGGTAATTCCAATGCACACCATAAATACACCCATGGAACAAAAGGTGATATAGACATGGGGCTTATCAACGCTCATTATAAACATGCCAATCATCACCAAAAAAAATCCCAGGACAATCAGCCCGTAGCGAAAAGTTTTATCCTCTGCCATGTCTTTCTGCAGCCAAAAATGAAGATTTTTTTTTTAATTAAATAAAATAAAATCCTGAATAATCACAATAGTATTTGCCTGAGTGGGTATCACACAATTCTGAAGAGCAATAGATGTTCTGTCTCTCCCTCTCCGCTGTCACTCTGATATGTAGTATTATAGTGTACAACTAGTGTAGTTCACCAATCTGATCCTGCAAAGGGTTGATCCAACCAGTTTTTAAGATAGAACAATCAATGCAAATTCTATCCCAATATTTCCACTCGAGTGAAACTGGACTCCACACCTCTTTAACCTTCCCTGGAGGCACACATACTTGCACACCTTTACAGACATAATCCAAGTCGTTGTGTGTATACATTAATCACTGCAATAGCTTGAAGATCATATTATCTGAGTTTACTACTTTTTTTTCATGCTCTACAAATAAATTGTGTTTTTTATTTTTATTTTTTGTGAAATAATTCTCAGTGAGCGTCGAACAAAATGAATTATTTAAATGCGATTCACTTAGTTCTTATAACTGTTTTTTTTCCATACTCTTTTAGGCAGGAATATATTTGTTAAACAGAAAATCAGGGATGGCTGGGGGCTTTTAGATAAGCAAAAGGATTTAGGGAAGCTCTTATTTAGCACAAGCAATGGATTTAAAATGCACAATTTCAAGAGGTACCTTCCTTTTTTATTTGGGGATCGTTCTGCTTTCATTCAAATGTTGCATTATTTACCAGGTGCGCAGCTGATGTAAATATAAAAACACTTACCTTTTTGTGGTTGTGGCCATCATTTCTCCTTAGACCCCAAGAGCACATATTTTTACGCGAATTTTTTTCCAAATGATGCTGCACTCACTCTTGTACAATACACTGTTTTCATTTTTCTGTATGAGATACCATTATATGCTTTGAGAGCCTTACAGTGTTTCATTCGCTTTTAAGTACTACAAAAAAAATCTCACTGGTAAAAGTTTCTCTTTAACACTCCTCCCTCCATTAGCGTGTATACAGAGGCAAACATTTGTATTTGATTGCTTGGAAATTAATCTAATGAAGACATGGTTAGCTTCCATTTTTCTCCAGATCTGGACTTCACCCTGCAGAGAAATAAACATCTCTTACAAGGCTCAATTCTGCCTATCCACATCTGTGATTATTTAAAGGATACACATTATGATAATATAAATGTTTAGATTGGTCATTGGACGGCCACTATAAGTGCTTCCTGGGGCAGTCCTGCACAGTGTGCAGCACTGATATTCACCATCTCCATCCTCTGCATTGAGGTGCTGAATGTTCCCTATAGAGATACATTGATTCAATGCATCTCTATGAGGAGATGCTGAATGGCATAGCATTTTGCCGTGCAGTGATTTTTGATCTCAGCCATGCAGGTAAAACCAAGCGGGGCCAGCTGCTACTTGACTGACATGGCGTGGTTAAAAAGGTGAGTAAACAGCACACCTCTTCGATAATGACTGACACATCACAACACACAAGTGACATTAGCCAAATAACCCACTGCAATCAAGCCAGAAACCTAGACGGATTGAGGAAACTTTGTAGACACCTAGAAACACACACACACATAACCACTCAAAACAAAACAAAAGAAAGCTGTACTAAGGGGAAAATGACATAAACCACACAACAAAGCAAGTCCACCAGGAAGTAACGCACAGGACAACACACACCTTACACTAGACCCTACCTACCTCATGTCTACAACTGAAAATACCAATGTAAAAGTAAAACCAAATGTAATCAGCAGCAGACTCTGATGATACGCAGCCTTAGCTGACAAAGGCCCATACACCACCGGCTTAGAACCGGTAGTGTCTGCCACAGTCAAAAGCCAATAACTCAATGTTTTAATGTTCAACGAATGTTCACCTAAATATGTTTAAAATTGTGACACACTAAATGACTGTTTAAATAAATAAAGATTGTCAAAAAAAACTTTTCACTGTACAAACGGGGGGGGTCAAGGACCTGTCTGTGCAGCGCAACAGTGTCAGGAATATATGTTTGTATTCTTGACACTATAACTGGAACGAGCTGTGGGTCCATGGTGACCAGTGTTCGTGGGAGTGCCTGGCCAAAATTAGTTCCAGGCACTCGACAACCAAGTCCTGCTGCCAGCGTTCTGAAGACAAGATGGCCCCAGTGGAGCATTCTATTAATAATTTCCTTTGCGGTTTTCATACAGATAAATAACGTTCCATGTTCTAATTGGTTTCCGGGGTGGTCTCGGTTTGGAAACCGAACGAAATAAACAAAATGACTATAGATATGAACAAAATAAACTAAAGGAGCCGGAAGTGATGGAAATATTCCTTCACACTATGAAAGTCTGTGAGTGTTCCCTCATACTATGCAGGTTTGTAAGTGTTCCTTTAAGCTGCGGCTCCAACAACCCCATATCTCATCTCTCAGCTGAGCAGCCTTCTGTACATAGTCTGACCTGAGTGAGGTCGGCCAGGGAGGCTGACAGTCAGCATGGTGTGCATTCATGCCAGGCTAACAAACCTCTTCTTTTGGTTGTCCCCACTCCTTTCTCACACAGAATCATCCATGCTAGGTGTCAACAGTGACACAGGTGCCATCAGCAACATTCTTACATAAGTCTGTCTACCCCTTTTCCCAACTAATCATACCTCCCTGTGTTTGGATGGTATAGAATGGCAAGCCAACAGATGCACTGAGAAGAGGTATTTATACATTAGAAAATAATACACAATGTTACATTTCCAATAAGAATACAAAATAATGACAGTTTTCCTTTAATACAAGAAGCCAATGTGAAAGCCACACTTTCTGGGCAAAAAACTTACAAAACCCCAATAAAAATAACCCCAAACAAGTTATGCAACCATAAGCTTCTAGATGAATAGAGATACGTATTATCCTGCAGGCCTTTTGCTCACTAGGGGCATATTTATCAAGGCAAAAAAAAGGCTATTTTGGGGCAAAGTGCTACAAAAGTATCAGTCACCAAGAAAACCAATAGAATGGGCCTCATCATTTAGCCTTAGAAAACCTTAATTTTAGTAAAAAAAAATTTGACACATGTTATTTTAATAATCCCCGAGTTTGTTCTCTAAGTGAACATGACCTCATAAATTTCAAATTGCTTTCTGAGTTTTCCTTCCATCGACCTTCAACTTCTTGGACATTATTTTGGCAATTAGATCAGGTTGGCTGGGCTGACAAAGAGTCTATTCCCCATTAGAGGAAATATTTTACAGATTCCATTCTCACATCTGCATTTTATGTAAAAATCAGGCAAAGGGGTTATTTACAACATTTCCTAATCTAAAGATACAGTCAAGTTTTTTGTTAATCATTTCTGTGTAGGGTCGCTGTACTCAGGCCATTAACTCCTTCAGTACAGTATAATCAGCGTAGGTGGTATAATCCCCACATTGGATACTTGGTGAGGTCCTCACTGGAAAGATAAAAAACTGATGACAGCTCACTCTGTGTTTTCCTTTCCAACTGTCACACTCTGGTATTAAAGGAAAGAAAGACATGAAAGAGCTGTATCTGAATACCTGCAGAAGTAATATCCTGGTATTAAAGGAAGGAAAGACATGAAAGAGCTGTATCGGAACATCTGCAGAGGTTTGGAACTGGAACAGACAGAGTGTGACAGTTGGAAAGGAAAACACAGAGTGAGCTGACTGTCATCAGTTTTTATCTTTCCAGTGAGGACCTCACCAAGTATCCCAGGTGGGTATTATATTACCTACGCTGATTATACTGAGCGGATTATCTGCTCAGGTAAATGTGAGTACAATTTATTTATTTTTACTCCTGGTTGAATATATTTTATACAGAGAGCACCATTTTTGCACTTTTTTATTTTCACATATAATCTGCTGATAAGACACATGCTGGTCAATATCTTCCACCAATATCACTAAAGTGGGGGATCAAATCCACTGCAAGCGCTTTACACTAGAGCTGTTCTTAGCTCTAATCGCATGTGAGTAGGCCATTTGGATTTCTTTTTACTCAAGCTTTTATCATAATTTATTTTCTCTTTTATGTTCCTGGATTCTGAACTCCTGGAAGGTATATTAACCTGAAGATACAGGCAAACTTTTATAGACTTATCCATACTATTATATTTTATCCTGGATTTTTGGCTTGTTCTTTTTACATACATGATTTTATACTATCAAATGGACAGTGTATAATTTGTTTTATCTCATTTGTTTTACTTAGAACTATCCAGATTCCCAACCCCTTGGCGCACCCTATTGTTCTGTATTATTGTTATTCCCTATGGGTTTTTGGGAGAGACTAACCCGTTTAGGTGTGCTGCCTTCCCTACCTTTAACACAGCGCTATTCCACTACTTGTTTTTCTGTTTTCCTTTACATATTGCCATCCCCATATTTGTTTGCTCAGATAGATTATTTTAAGTATCCTTATAAAATGTAAACCTTTATTTGTATGTGTTCGCTGTTCCTTAATTTGTATTATGTATATTTTATTACAGTGGCAGCAGCAGAACCTTGTTTTGAACTGGAAGGACTGCTTAGAGTGTCTCTGTAAGGCTCACTGAGTATCATGAAAAATCGAATTCACCAAAATACCCGTGCTGGAGCATTTATTGACCTCCAGACTCTCACAGGGTGTAACTGGCAGGCAACACAATCAGGGAATTTACTGCAAAGCTTTTCCTCAATTTGTTTTGCTAGGTGACTAAATGAGTCTACAAGTCTAGTGAGAGTGTTTAATGTTAAACACCAAAACAAATTGCAAGGTATTTAAACATATTTACAATCTCTTTGCCTCAATTAAATCTGCTGTTTCCTAACCACTGTAATGTTGACAGTATAAATACTCATCAGGACTCTCCTTTGTCCTTAACAGATAATTGGACCTGTTTATTGGACAGGTTTATTGAAGCTAAATATAGGTGATCACCTGTAACACCTGTAATTTCACGGAAGAAATAGAGCTATTCACTTGTAAAGCAAATCGTGCTTTATATGTGAAGCTCTGCAGCCTGCTATGGCCATGTCTAAATAAACCTGCTATAACAAGAGATCTTACATGTATTATATTTCCTATCATGAACCTATATCAACCTATTTTGCTTTTAATTAAAGGGACACTAGAGTCAC